GTTTTGTTGTACAAAGATACAATTCTCCAATACTTTGTACTGTGAGTGCATACTATATGAAACAATCTAAGATGTACATATATTTAAATCCCAGCTTCAGCATGGTGTTGTTTCTACCTCAGATCTAAGATGCTGGTTGTATCCTGTACTGCATTTGCACAGCTTTTGTTAGAAATTCACTTTTCTTGGGCTTCTGTACTCTAAAACAGCGTGTTGATTGCCATGTTGGTATTTTGTTCTGCCAGAAATTTAATATAAACTTCTGATGCTTGTTTCAGTAATGGTGCACTGGAGGAAGGGAAGCCTGTGGATCTGGTTCTAAGCTGCGTGGACAACTTTGAAGCTCGCATGGCAATTAACACGGTAGGGCCACCAAAGGCATGAGCTTCTGGAAGTCCATTTTCTCCTATAAATAATGTTAGGAATTGTGGAACTATAGAAAAGACAGGAACTTGAAGACAATCTCCTAAGAAATGTCTGCCGTGGCTTGAGAAATCTGAGCTTTTACTCAGTTCTTATCAACTCATTTAATGTGTATAAATATCACTGAAGACTTTAAAATTACTATCAGCTAATGGTTAGTAAAAGACTGAAGTGTCATAAACGCTGTCTTTTCAAATTACTCTGTTTATATAATGGTATTTTCAAAGGCTGGTATGCTAAATCTTAGAAAGTTTTAAAGATTTTCTATAGCTAATTGTATACTTTACATGACTTTTTGTATACTAAAAATGCTGTTTATTTAATCAAACTCTATTTATAGTAGCAGCCAGTGTAGGGTATATGCCAAATGTATGTTTTCTGTTACCCTTCAGCTGACTTGGTCCATAAATTGCAGGTAGGGAAGGCACACAGATACAGAATTATACAGAATTATATTCTGTAGTGTGCTGTAACTGGGTCGCTAATATCTGTATTTGTTAAAACATCTCAGGTCCTCAGGAAAGCACAAAGGGCTGGCTGGCTTCATGAGGGCAACTTTAATTCTGATTTGTCCTTTGATAAATAATTTCTATCTCTTCATGTCCCTTTTTCTGACCCTAGCCTTTTTGCCTGAAAGCAGGGAGATGAATGTGTTTCATCACTCCCAATTTATCACATTTTTGGGTTCCTTTTCATTAAACTTCTGCATTGCTGACATGTGTGTTTATGTGTTTATAAGGCCTGCAATGAACTTGGACAAATCTGGATGGAGTCTGGAGTGAGTGAAAATGCAGTGTCAGGACACATCCAGCTGATCATACCTGGTGAATCTGCTTGTTTTGCGGTACGTGGTGCTCTGCTGAAATGCTCACTTGCCTTTCAGAGTGGGACTGGGAATGTGAAGATTAGTTGGCCTAGTGGGTGTGATCCTGGCACAGTTGATGCAGTACTTTAAAATTCTTTGTGATCTGTGGAATTTCTTGAATGCTTTTTTACAGTTTAATTTCTCTACTGCCCCTCAGTGTGCTCCTCCACTGGTAGTAGCTGCAAATATTGATGAGAAGACATTGAAACGAGAAGGAGTTTGTGCAGCCAGTCTTCCTACAACTATGGGTGTTGTGGCAGGAATGCTTGTACAAAATGTTCTCAAGTAAGTGACTGAGTTGTTGCTGTTTGATGTGTACAGCAAAATATGAGAAAAAGACCCCTGAAGGAACATTTCATAATGACAGGTCTGGTTCTTGTCCATGTCTTGTTTCCTAATGGTATTGGCCACATTGAACAGGGCTGAAATACACATTGCTTGAATTTGAACTAGAGCCTTTCAGTGGTAAGAAACAGTTTCAGTGTTTACCAAAGAATTTCTGTTAATGCATACACACATGCACATTTTTTTCTTAGTTCTGCATTTAAATATGCTCTGATTTGACAGCATTAAGTTGTATATAAAAAATGCTACAGCACTGACTTGTCTTTGAAATTTTGTACATGGAAAATAAATTACTTCTCTTGCCTGTAGCTGAGTTATTCTCTTATTCTCACACACTATGAGAAGATGGGATTCTATATTGATGCAGTTATTCTGTTGTCAGCTGACTAGAGCATAACTGGTTTTAAGGCAATTACAGTGACTCTACAACTCCAGGAATCTGAAAGTGTATTCTAAAAGTTGAGGAAAAATTATTCCTTGAACAACTGAAGTTTTAGGTTTGCAGCTGCATTACAAGCTCCTTCTTTCTCTGTTTCTAGATACCTATTAAATTTTGGTACTGTGAGTTATTACCTTGGTTACAATGCGATGCAGGATTTCTTCCCAACTATGTCTATGAAGCCAAACCCCCAGTGTAGTGACCACAATTGCAGAAAACAGCAAGAAGATTATAAGGTAAAAATGGTTTGTGTTCATGGGTCAATTTTTTTATTTCCCTTTTCTTAGAGAACAAAGCAAGCTGCAAATCTGTAGTAAAAGAAAGTGTTCGTTGCTACTCCACTTTGCAGCATTCATCTTCAGTTGGTTGTACATGTTTCTAAATATACAATACTTACCTTAAAGTAAAGGGTAGGAAGAAAGGTTGAGGAATTACGTAGAAGAAAATATTACTTAACTGAATGCAAACTTTTCTGGCACTTGAGTTTCTGAGTGTTAATGGGTTTGGTGTTTTTCTGGACTTGGTGGTATTCTGCCTTTTTGCTCCTAAGCAGCCACCATTTAGAACTTTTTTATCTTACATATTGAAAGAAATGCAAATATCAGGCTTGATCTTCTTTGCTGTTGTTGGAAATTGGACTGTTAGATTTTGAGGGGTTTACTTTTTGTGTTTTCCCTCCAGAAAAAGGAAGCCGCAAGACCAAAAGAAGAAGTGATTGAAAAGGAAGAAGAAATAGTGCACGAAGAAAATGACTGGGGTAAGTCATCAACTGGAGACTAAATGATGTTCCCAATACTGAGATTCAATTTGAGGGAACACAGTTTAGGGTACATAGAATTCTTCTAGTTCCTACTTTTTGTAACGTACACAATTACTATTGGCTTTTCACAGGTTTTGAAAGTAATTTTGCCACAACTTGATGATACGTTTCTAGTGCAATGTGCAGGTTTTAGACTCAAAATATAACTGCTGCTTCAATAAAATCTTTCTCAGAAGATGGTCTGAAGATGAGAGAGATATGAGAAAATGTATTAACTGCATATTCCTTTTAAATATCCTAAAGAGCAGCTGTCATTTCCATAACCACTGTGCTGAGGGATCTCATGCATTTTTACACTCCTCTGAGGGTTTCAATTTAGAAGGAATTATCTTAAGGAACGGTAAATGTGTTTTATGTAACCATTTTAAGAATGGAGATATGTGTTCTGCTTATTACATGCTATAGAAAATAATCTTATCTTACACTGGGAGAAGTGTCCTTATGGTTAAGTTTAAATGATAAGGACAAGGGAGAGATGCCATTCTGGTTCATAAGTTGCATATATAGAATTATTTCATATATTGTAAAGGGAAAATATTTTGTATTGATAATAGAATGAAGTTGTTAAAGTCAAAGGTGTTTCTGCTTTAATTTTATTCTGTTTTGGGGAAGTACCTGCACCTTTCCTATTACTGTGATAACTTGGTGATTAAAGAACTTTTTCTTCTAACTTTTAATGGAGTTCTTGTTTCCTTTTAATGCAAAGGCATTGAATTAGTATCAGAAATTTCCGAAGATGAGCTGAAGGCTGCATCTGGCCCAGTACCTGAGCTTCCTGAGGGAATTAGTGTAGCATATACTATCCCAGACAAGGTAACATATTTATTCTTTATGAGTTTTTGAAATACACATTGTAGATTAAATTTATGATAACAGCCAGTTTGGTTACCCTTTAAACCTAAAACAAAATTCCATCTTAAGCAATTCCATTGAAACTTGATCTCAGTTCATTGGAGTATTCGTTTTTATGGTCCAGTTTTGTCTTCCTAGGAAAGATATTTCTGTAAGTGTGGATGCTAGTGTGAATGCACTGCTGAGATGATAGGAATGCATTTGTGGGCTGGGGGAAGGACAGCAAATGTGAATTTCTAAGTTGATGTTTAGGTGGCTAATTAATTTTTATCATATGTATCTTGTAAAAGCTGTATGTAGTCAAAGAGCAATGAGTATACCTGGGGAACATAGAATCTGAATGTATTGCAGTAAGAACATTCTAAGTCCTAGTCAAAATAGTTTACAATTGAAGTTTATAATCACTTAGGCCTAATCTCACAACTGCGTGCCTGGTGCCAGGAAAATGGTGTGGTGTAAAAACAATAAAGCCAATCTCTGGGGGTTTTTTGTTTACTTTTTTTGTTGACAACTTTTTCTTCTTATTCATAACAGGAAGATAATTTAATAACTGGGGAGACAGTAGCAGAGTCTGAAGAAAGCTTAGAAGAACTCATGGCCAAAATGAGAAACATGTAGAAAAACAAATATTAACTACAACTTTCATGAATTTGGATGGACATCGGATTTCGAGAAGACCAGGCTTCTTGTTTTTTTTTCTTTTATCTCTGTTGAAGCTTACCTTTAGCTTTCTGATGAAACAGAACTGTTACAGAGGCAGGAAGGACACAGACTTACATTGTTTATATTCTGTTTTCTCATGTCTTTATTAACAGAGGTGTGCTACTGTAAATTTTAGTTTCTCAGCATTGCTAGTGTCCAGATATTCAGTGGCAAATAAAAGGACCTGGATAAACTAAAAAAAGCAGGCACAGCACATTATATACCCTATCATGTGATGAGAATAGCCCAGAGATCAGGCCAAGGGAAAGATGAAATTTGTTGGAGTGGACTGAGTAGGTGAAGGGCAGATGATAATGCCTGTCTCTCATGTTGCTGCTCTTGATTTTCCTGACACTTGTACTTGGTTGTCATTCACTGCTCTAAAGTCTTGGCATGGATCATGCTGTGGCTATGATTTTTCTGAATAATGAGTAATGCAAACATCTAAGCCTTTTCCTGTGCCTTAAATATCTGTGGAATGGAATTTTCTTTATCAATGTCTTACTAATGCTTGTCCTTAAACAGCTGCCTATGTTTTGTTTGTGGTGTTTTGAGTATACTGTAAAGGTGAAGTCTTTTGTTAGTATTACAGTAGCAGACTGCATATCAGCACGCCACTACTTTGTCTGGCAGATGACATGACAAAATTATGAGTGACATTGTAAAAAACTGGAGATTTTGTCTACCTTTTCAAAAGTCTCAATATTATATTTTTGTTGGTTACTGGAAGTTTAGCTATAATTCTGATCACTCCCAATCACATAAGCTATATTAAGGAATATAATTCTGAGTTTGCATAGAAAATCTTCTAAAATTAGATGCTATAAATTTTTAGTTTTGCAAATGTCTTCATTGGAGTAGCTCACCTATTGTATTTGTCTTAAAAACTACATTAGTACAATCATAAAACTTTTTAAATGGCCACGTGTTAAACCAACCTGTAAGTATTTGCATCCTGGAGTGTCTGTACCCTGCAGAACTGGAAGGATCAATTTTAAATATTTTAACTGCTGTGGGCATCTTATCCAGAACTTGGTAGTTATTTCAGCCTTGGCAGTATAATACAAATATTTCCAAGCTGGGCTCTTCAAAAAGCTTTTCCACAATGTGATGCAGCCAACACAGAGCCAGATGTAAATGGCAGTGGTAGTATCCCAATAAAGTGTAGAGACAGCAATATCATGATGGTGCTTCTGTTTCTTAGGGCAGCTGAACGATTACCTAGTTATAGTTAGTTTAAAAAATGTTTCATTTCTGAGTGAGGGTTACAAACTTCAGAATCAGTTTCCTCCACAGCTGACATCTTATTATACACATAAAAACCATCTCTGAAACCAGTGAGGGAGATTTTGGGTGGGTTTTGAGTGTGGGGCACGATACTGTAAAATCAAAGTGGCTTTTTTGGATTGAGTTCTGTTTTAGAGAAACCAGGTTTTAGAAATGAACTGCAAAGAAAGATAGGAAATAATAATGAGACCATTAAAAAGGTAGATACTTCAATCTGTGTTAGCTTGATCCAGCTTCAATTTACATGTTACTTACATTTCTGTAAGACTTTCACCTTTCTGTTGGGAACAATAAAAGTCAGGCACACAGCTGGCTCTGGAGATCCTGAGGCAAATGGCTGACCCATTTCTACTCAGTTCATCCTGACTCTTAACTATGTGGCTAACATGGCTGCTATCACAGCTTCTCAAGAGGCAACTTCATGTCCACTTTTATGAAGGAATTAATACACTTCTCTATGCCCTCTTAGCGAGTACACAAAATGGTTCCTGTGTTACTTTTAGACTTTCAACTTGTATATACTTTCAACTTGTATAAGAAGAACTTGAAATAATCAGAAAATAAATAAAAGATGATTGTATGTGTCAATGGTTAAAACTATTTAAAAATAAACAGCATCCAAAAAAGCAGCATTAAGGATTTTTTTTTTTTTAATTAAGAAGATATTTACATGTATAATGTGCTCTAACTGTAAAACACAATAGATTATTTATTGCTTCCTTGGTTATGAACTAACAAATCAAAGTACATCACCATGATTAAGTCCAGCTTTGTTTGGCAATCTTATAAAAGTGTTCAGTTTTTACAGTGTCTCATGAACATTATTAAGATGTTGATATTCTGACCGTGTAATTAAATCTCCATTTAAACTGGTGACCCTCTGCTTTGAAGTGGAGTTCTATACAGAAGTATAATCTGGCACACCCCATATATATAAATATATACAGATGGTTTTTCCTTGCTGTCCATGAGGCACAGCTCCATGGAAGCTGTTTTGTAAGCTTTCTTTGGGTTCAAATGGTAGGCACGTAGATTCCTCACCCTCTTTGCTAAAGGATGATGGATGGTTGGGGTCTGCTACTTTTTAGGGACCAATTTTTTATTTTAATTTTTTTCTTATTCCAAAACCAACCCTGCAGCCTATGAGGAAAGTCGGAGAGAAGCTGGTCAATGGAAGAATAGTAACAGTTCAGCAACAGTAACATTAAGGATCTAGAAAGTAACTTCTTATTTAAACTAGGAACAGTAGGGGAAACTATTTAGGAGAGGAAGATGTACCACTGTTAAAATCAGAACAGTCATAACAAGCTAGACCACACATCTGGTAATTCTTTAGAGGAATTACCAGGTCTAAGAACATCAGACAACATGAACACACAAGTTGAGTAGGCTGAGGTTTCAGAGGATGGAGGCGTTTAGGTTACTTTTGTTTGGAGTTTTTTTTTATGTTTATTTGTCTGTTTTTCCTTTTGCCCCTCTTCTTAGTTGGCAACAATCCTGCAAAGAACTTTCCAATTTTCAAAACATCAAGGTGGCTGAAATAAGGGTTTTACCACTCTGCTTTGCTCACAAACCCATTTTCTGAATAAGAGGAGAATATCCAGAGAGCTATTACAAAATGTCAACTCTTAGTGCTCTATCATAACAACCTCAAGAGCTGTTTTTGATTTTTGTTTTCAACTACACCCTTATCTTAAAAATCAAATTTGAGTTGTATCTTTGTACTGTCAGTTTTATATACCTCTTCTTTTGCCAAGTTACTTAATTACCAAAATACTAAATTCCTCCTAATCAGAACTAGGTCTGAAATGAGTAATAATTAATTCTGCTCTAAAAGAGAAAAAACACTGTGGAAGGTAAATACTCCTCTGAAGTGAAGGCCATTTGCATTTTTGAAACTGCATCAAATTAATCTTTAGTTGCCTCTGAAATATTTTAGTAGGGTTTCGATTAATTTTCCATTTAGATTCTGTTTTTTATAAAAAGTCTTTTTTTAGTATGTATTTAAATTGATGCATGTACTTATGGACTGAGAACGGAACTCAGACTGGTTCTTTCAGATGACTCGTGTTAAGAAATACAACAGACAGGTAGATTTGATTAACATTTCTTTATCTGATGGCAAACTATTTTGCATCACTAGATTTTCCTAGCCAATACAAACATTCTTGTATTTTAAGGGATTAAGTAAGATTAACTAGCAAAAGTATTGCTAAAGGTTTAAGAACAGGAAATCTGGCCATAATCATCTTCATTCTGATTGCTTGTTGGAAGTATTTTTATTGAACAGAGTGGAATCTTACAACAGCTTTAACTGTAGATGACATATTTAGATACCTTAGCTTCCCAAGGAAACCAATTAATTTTCCACAAGTCCCTTGAATCAAAGTTTGCCTACAGCTGAAATAACCCTGCAGGTAAAACTTCAGGTTAAACAGTATTTTCAGTTTTTTCAAAATGACCATTTTCTTCAGAAACAACTTTAAAGGCTTGTAAAAAGGCAGGAAGGATTGGTGACACAAAAATACACAAATCCTCTAAGCCATGCTATTACAACACAGAAATAAGAACTGCTCCTTAGTGTTTATACAATTTGGTATAATCCTGGCACTTAGGCTAAGAGGCATCACGTCCATATTTTTGGTGTTAGCTACAACTTGAGCTACTAACTAAGGTGTGTACCCACATACAATGAAAGAAGCTCACTTCGTACCATACAGTCTGCAAAGTTAAGGCAGAAGGATTTCAAGCAGAAACATTTGTTTCCATGTCATTTGGGAAGACAGGTGTGAGTCCTAGAACATAATCCTTGGAAAAATGGATTTGTTGTAGTAATTTTCTGTCTACTTGAAAATATCAATGGAGACTGCCTTTTCTTGGAGCAGGTTTATATCACCTTTGTCCATGTTCCAGGAAAGCGTTTGGTGATAATGCACTTTTTAAGCTGAATGTGTCTCCACTTGATGAGTGTCGAGAAGTTGCTTTTCCACCTATCAACAAAGTTTCTGCTTCTTTTATTTCCATAGCTCTCTTGTAAAGTTCAGCTGCCTTCTCAAAGTCTCCCCTTTCATAGCTTTGGAAAAGAGCAAAACAAAGTTTCATTTGAATTGAAATATATACCATACTATCAATGCAATGTACTTAAAACTCTCTATTTTCCTAGAAAGTACACAAGCCCAGATGTTTTGTTTCATGCAGTAATTTTCATTTATTGGGTTGAAGCATATAATCTTACCTTAGCACAGCCAAGTTTTTCAGTGTTTCCCCCACGCGAGGATGCATTTGGCCAAAGCTGTCTTCGTAAATCTTCAGTGCCCGTTCATAGAGAGGCAAAGCTTCAATTTGCTTTTTCTTTGGGTAGCAGAAAGTTTCTTTGTTACAAACGAGTATCTTTGTTACAGATGTGAATTACATTGGCTTTTCTTTTTTTGCCAACACAGTATCAATACCTCCTAGATGCAATGTGGTGCCTACCAGTCACAGCAATTACTTTTTCCTTGCCAAATATGCTTTCTATACTTAAAAGGGAACCCAAGAATTTGCAAGTACTATAGGGAATTTCCCTTTTCAATATGGTCAAGCTTCTTTTGTTTCATTTAGGTACAAGTCATAAAAAAGCCTAAGACAGGAAAAACAAATGTTAGACTTGAGAAACTTACCATCTGACAGTAAAGGACAGCCAGGTTTACTAGAGCAGTTGCTACACTTGGGTGTTTTGGGCCAAATGACTTCTGTCGAATTTCAACTGCTAGCTCATACAGAGGAACAGCCTTATCAAGCTTTCCCTAGAAATAACAGAAAAAAAAAAAGATTCAGTTCTCTTGAATCAAGATGGTAACAGCAAAATCTATTTTAAACAAAAGCCTTGGAGAAGATCTAATTGTTCCTAGAATAAGGGGATAACTTTGCTAAATAATATGTATATTCTGAACAGATTATTTATTGTGAATATTTATTAGAACCCAATTTTCCAAAATACTGGGCATATTCAACTCCCAGTTAATGGGTTTCTCAGCTAGGTCTATTTCTTCCTTTCTTAATTTATTTTTTCCCCACAAGTGTCTCATTGAGAAGGCTGAAAAAAAAAAAAAATCAGTTGTACTTTTATCTAAATAATTGTCTCCACTGACTTCTAATTTGTGCTCCTTCAAACTAGCAAAGAGGTTTTTGATGCAAATGTTGAGTGGTTTTTCAGCTTCAGCAGCATGAAAATTAGGAGCTAAAGTGAGCAGAAAATATCGTGACCCAAACCATTTAATGCACACAATAGCAAGTAGCAACTATTTAGCAACAACACAAGCAAATTTGATCCAAGAGATTATCTTGAAGGTCTTTTTTCTCTTTGAAGAACAGTAAAATGTGAAAATAGAAAATAGATAAAATTCTTACAATTCACTGAACTTGATCTTGGTTCAAAAGTTGGAAAGAGTACATCACTATTACACTGATAATAGTAAATGGTTAGAACAACCATCCACAAACACAAATATTCATAACCCATTTTGAAATTATGAAATAGAGAAGTTTATACTCTGGTTAATTTTACTCCTCACAGTGCATTTTGCATGGGAGTAATACTCATCTTTCACTGAGTCAACATAAACTGAAGGTGGCTCGGTCAGAAAGTTTATTTGTGAAATACTATCTCCCTCATAAGCCTTCAAATTACCCTTAAACTGACTGTAAATTCAAGGTTGTTATATAAAAAGAACTATTCCTACCCCCTAAAACATGATTTTTTCCATTAAGACAAAGACATTACAGTTAGTTTAGGTGATCAGAAGAGGTAATAGCCTTGAGCTCACCATCTTTTTATACAGCACTGCCAGGTGTTTCACAGTATAAGCCAAGGAGGGATGATCTGGAGCCAAGGCTCTCTTCCTGATGTCCAAAGCTTTCTCATAGAGCTCCTCAGCCTTGTCATAGTGCTTCTTCTCATTGTACAAGGCTGCCAGGTTGTTCAAAGACTGCGCGCAGTCTGGGTGGTTGGATCCCAGGACTCGCTCTCGCATTTCCAAGGAGCGCTTCAGGAAAAGCTCTGCTGTCCTACACAACATATTTGCTCATCAGTATTTTAAATCTCTATAGGCTGAAGTGCCTGTTAGAAACAACAAATTCAGCCTTGGAAACTCAATAGTAAAATCTGTTTAGAACTGACAAAGTAGAAAAGACTCTGTGTAATGTCACCACTGGAGCAAAGGGCACTTTTTAATCTCACTACAGTAGGGTGCTGCTATTTCATTACAGCTTTACAGCAGCTCCCCTATCAAAACTACAGGTGATCCCCCCATAAAACTGACAGCATCCATTATTACTAGGCAGCTCCTCATCCTGACATCCACACAAATCCACTCATGCTATTCTCAAGAGGTCAGCTTAGTAAATCAGAAAAATTCATTTTTACATTAGAGAAAAAAAAAAAGACCATTTATATACTGAACTGTAGGTTCAATTCTAGAGCTCTTAGACAAGTGTCAAAAGGTGTTCCCTCTATGCAAGGCCTGGAGGATGATGTATGACAAATAATTATTCATTAACTGACATATACCCATCTGCCACTGATTTCATTTTAACTACATGAAGTCTTGGCCTTGCTGGTTCAG